TAACCAAAGAAGGGAAAATGACTGAAGACAAATTTATTAAGGAGAATATTAAGTGGAAGGAGGCAGCCATGAACTGGAAACTTGGTTTCATGTTCCTTTTTCGTTGTGGAACATGTAACCAACCTAAATTAAGCAGTTATGTGCCTAAGAGTTCTCTTCCTTCTGGGGATGCAACCGTGGTTAAGGAAGGTTTGCTGCTCTTGAGGACCTCACTTTTTGTGCCAGGTGGGTTCTGGGGTTGGGGATTTTGGTAATTACTTTGCTTCCACCCTTCCCTCTATGATTCCACGGCTTGAGATACTTATCCTACCCCACAGCCCCAAGTTATAAGCCTATAGAAAACAGGTGTTTTCCCTTTCTTGAAGTGAATAATTGGAATATTGCAACATGTTAAACTTAATTCATGTGTAAAACCTATAAGCTACAGATAACAGGTTTCTTAGCTAAGCAATTGGATTGGTCATCTAGAGTTTCTCTACATCTTTGGGAATGCATTTCATTCATTTCTTTTTCTACTTATAAGACAATAAACACTAAACAAACACCTTTTAATACTTAGAGAGAAATGTTGTCAGCATAGTCAAAGAATCATACCCAGAATTTAGAGCCAGAAGATATTAAAATACAATCTCTTTATTGTGTAATGAAGGAGCCCTGGTGATGCAGTGGTTAATGCTTGCTGCTAACCAAAAAGTCAAACCCATAATCTACTCTGCAAGAGAAAGATATGGCTGTCTACTTCTATGAAGATTACAGTCTTGGGAACCCTATGGGGCAGTTCTACTCTGTCCTATAGGGTTGCTATGAGTCAGAATTGACTAGACAGCAGTGGGTTTGGGTACTGTATAATAGAGGAAATTGATATCCAAGGATGCCATCTGGCTGCCTAGGACCTGCAGATGAACAGAGTCAAGATGGCTCTGCTCTTCAGTCTCCCAATCCTCTTTTTTTTTTTTTCCCCACATTCCCGACTTTCACACATTACATGGAAAGGAAAATCAATCAAGAATTAGCCAACGACTCTCATAGAAACCTTAATCATGCCTTCATGTATATGTTGTTGTTGTTTGCCATCCAGTTGGACCTGACTCATAGCAACCCCTTCTTGAGTTTCCAAGGCAGTATCACTACAGATTGACCAACCTTCCTTCTGAGGAAATGTTAAATAATAAAACCCCAAAACACAATTCCTGTGGTGCTAAGAAACTGTACATTGAATTCTCTCCATCCCACCTCTTTGCCTCACCAGTTACCAAGGTCCCACCCTTTGTATCATTCTAAAGACACAAAGCACAAAGTAGTATGGCATCTTCTGGACAATTTATAGTAATAAGCATTTGCTAAGATTTATTGAGCTCCAATTCTGTGCCTTAGGATGATCCATGTACTTTACACATATTATCTCATTTAATCTTTATGGCAACTCAATGCCATTGAGTCGAGTCCAACTTAAAGTGACCCCTCCTTGGGTTTCTGAGGTGTTATCTCTACAGAAGTCGGTTGCCCAGTCTTCCTTCCAATGGCAAGTCTGTAAGACTTGCTTAAACAACTGAGGCTTAGAAAGGCTTACAATCTTACCAGGGCCACTCAGCTTGTAAGAAGCAGACCTGGGATCTGAATCCAAGCAGCTCAATTTCAGAATTCAAGGTCTTAACCACTACTCTGTGCTGCCTTCTAAGAGGAAATAGATTAGCCTCTTCCTCTGAGAGCAGAATTTACCTGTTTGTTCAATTTTCATTTTTCCCTTGCAAGGGCATCAAGTATTAGGAATACCAGGGTAAAGAATTGACTTAAAAGATATCCAGAATCTAACGTTTCCTGAGAATTATGTAAAACAGCACAAAATTCCTTTATCTCATTTAGCTCTCTATAAATCATGTTAGGTAGAAGTAAGGTGTGTAAAAACCCACAAATGGTAAATGACCTAGTGGTAAATAGAAGGAACATCTGAATTCTTCAATGGGCTGTGGCTTGTGTAAAACAATCTTGGTTAAAGTAAACTCTTCTCTCTATTTTGACACTTGGTAAGGATATTATTTTAAACTGTGAAATTGCAGGAACAAAGGTTTACTGATGATTGGAAGTACCAGAGAGAAAGTCTAATGTTATAAAAAAGCAAGAGTGGTGGTGATGGTAGTGAATAGATTTGTTGGGTGTTGAGTACAAGGAAAGCAAATTATTTTGTGGGCCTAAAATAATAATTTCACCAAGTTGAGCAATTGTATTAACACTATTTCTCATGGAAGTCTTCCTCAAAATGAGATTTTTCTGCTCCATGGCTCACCCCGGGTATCAAATGCAAGAACTATTGTTTAATAAAGAAATGGAGCTTAGTCAAAGTTATCACACTCTTTTGCATGGACACCTTTAAGATCTGGTCACATTATCACCATCAATCCTAGATAATATTTCACTAACCTGTGTATTAGCTATCACTAACTTAGAAGAAACCCAGGAGACAGTAATGTTGAAAGGCTGAAGTGGGGATTTCATGGGTATTGGAGAAGTGTGTGAATAAAGGGATGAAAGGAGGGATATACTCTGAGGATTCCAAGGGAAGGTTAAGGGCTGTGTGTGAAGATAATGGA